AATAGCCAAACTATGCAAAGAGCCTAGATGTCCATCAACAGATGAATGGATAAAGAAGATGTGGTATATATATACAATGGAATACCATGCAGCTATCAAAAAAATGAAATCTTGCCATTTGCAACAACATGGATGGAACTAGAGGGTATTATGCTAAGTGAAATAAGTCAATCAGAGAAAGACAATTATCATATGATCTCACTGATATGAGGAATTTGAGAAACAAGGCAGAGGATCATAGGGCAAGGGAGAGAAAAATGAAACAAGATGAAACCAGAGAGGGAGACAATCCATAAGAGATTCTTAATCTCAGGAAACAAACTGAGGGTGGCTGGAGTAGACTGGGGTGGGAGGGATGGCGTGGCTGGGTGATGGACATTGGGGAGGGTATGTGCTATAGTGGTGCTGTGAATTGTGCAAGACTGTTGAATCACAGACCTGTACCCCTGAAACAAATAATACATTATATGTAAATAAAAAATAAAAAATAAATTAATTAATTAAAAAAAAAGAATGTGCTGATGGGCAAAGTGTATTTTTTAAGGCATGGTGAATATATATCGGTACAAATGATTAGCATGAGTAACAAAACTGCTCAAAGTATATGCTCAACTATGTTTTGCATAAAAGTAGCATCACATCATAACATTGACAGTTCCAAAATTCTATCCATACTCTCTAATTATATCCACTAAAAAAATAGCTGTTGGGAGTTGTTTTTTTTTTAAGTATAATACTCATGACTCTAATCATCTGTTTCATGCTATCTTAGAATATAATGACAAAAAATATTCACTTGTTATTTTTTCCTTTATTTTTTGTGAGGATAATGTAGCATTTTTTAATTTAATGTGACACTATGTGCCTGTATCACAACTTGCTATGTGGTGTTTGACAAGTAATTTGTTAAAGTGTTAAAACTTGGCAATGATTTACAAAGGAGAGTAGATTCAGAGTTAGTCATTTTCATTTACTTCCATTCAGTTACCTATTCATGGACTAACAAGAAAGAGTTGGAGTTGTAAATAACTTGTGAACTATCTAACCCCCAGTCCATCTTCCCTATAACCTCACCCATATCTAGGAAAATCTGTGAAGTCTGTGGACATCGGACTAGTGTATCACTGAAGAAAAAGGGTCAGTGATCTAACAGGTGTCTTTTATAAATCCTCACAAATCAATCTTTACACATTCATATTTCATCCCTTATCAACTTGAAAATTTTAAAGATTGTATTCTCCCTGAGGTATCATTTCCTTTGCTCATCCTAGTTAATCTAGAATTTATATTCTTCTGTGGTTTTTAGATCATTAAGTCTTTTTTTTTAGATTTTATTTATTTATTTGAGAGAGAGCGAGAGAGGGAGAGAGAGAGCCTGAGAGTGAGAGTGGCGAGCAGGAGTGGAGGGGAGGGGCAGAGGCAGAGGGAGAAGCAGACTCTCCTGCTGAGTGGGGAGCCCGACATGGGGCTCGATCCCAGGACCCTGGGATCATGACCTGAGCCAAAGGCAGACGCTTAACCTATTGAGTCACCCAGGCACCCCTAATGTTCATCTTTAAATAAAATGGTATAAATAATGCCTGCCCCACAGGATGGTGGGAAGATTGCAATAAGAGCCCGACATGGGGCTCGATCCCAGGACCCTGGGATCATGACCTGAGCCAAAGGCAGACGCTTAACCTATTGAGTCACCCAGGCACCCCTAATCATTAAGTCTTTTTTTTTTTTT